GTTTCTTTTTAGTATTAGAGGCTGAACCCAGGGTCTCATGCATGGCTGGTAAGCATTCTACCACGGAGCTACATCCCCAGCCCAAGTTTATTTTATCTTGTTACCCAAAGATTCTGAAAATGAACGTAACTTAAAACAAACTAGAGTCACTTTCAGCTTCTCTAGTTAGGCAATAAGAAGTTTAATCGAATATAACAGGTATTAGGAAAAATTCTTTATGCTCTTCACATAAACAATTTTTCAAATCTTGAACAATTTGCTGGGCTGTCTGTACATTTCCTTACCCATCTTTCTCCACTCCATGCAGTGAGTCTAGAGAGGAAAATCTTGAAGAGTAGAATCCCAGCCGCCCCAGGAAGATTACAAAAGCAAACAGATGCAGGCTGAATCCTGCCCCCCAACTCCATGGTTACTACTAAGACAAGGAAGAAGCAAGGGAAAAGTCAAGAATTGTTTTTCTAGGAAATAAGTATGGGTCAGCCTTCACATACTAACAGGGTCTAATTTCCTCCTTATATTCAGGGGAGTTAGTGTTAGAAATCTCTTGCTCYTTAATACTCATGCCAGATTGGCCTCTAGGAATGGAAAGTTGTCCCTGGGAGCGTATATAGGTACTGTGTGACAAACTTGTCACAGAAATGAAGGAACTTAGATGATTTGTTCCTCCTAACAACCCCATAAGGAACCACTAAAGTCAGGTGGTAAGCTACATTGGTGGCATTCATTCTTGGGACGTTTGATCCCCCAAACTTATGCTATAGTATTTCTCACAGGATTTGAAAGAAGAGAACAATGTTGTTGGCTCTCGGCAGCAATGCTCACTATGGAAGATGATTAGCAAAAACATGTTTTCATCTTCACTATTATGATTTTCCCTGAGTTATAGACACAAAGTACCACAAGGGATTGATGGCACGGTTCTTCATGTCTGATTTCTGTAGCAAATTCCACATCAAGGTCTAATATATGAAAARTGAGCCTGTGGCATGAAGTTAGAAGAGGTGGAAGTGTATAATTCCTCATCAGGTACTCGGATGTACATTGTAAAGATTCATAACCCAAACCATAGTCAGAAAACTAACAAAAACAGTGACTGTTTATAAACCAACCAGTCCATGAATATTCATTCTAATCACTGTACAGTAATCAATTAGTAGTATGCACAGCAAGAACAATATGAACTCTGGGGCTACAGATTGCAGAACTGAATAAATCATCATTTTAAAACGACASAGCTAAAGATAATGCATATTCCTTTCTGGATGAAAATTAATTTTATGTTTCATTGTKAAATAAATAAAAAAATATATGAGAGGCAAAATTTAGATATTAGTGTCTATTGCTACAAATACAGGTCAAGAAAAATATTACTCCAGTTATTTGACTACACGGTTTCAATGTTTATATTTTGTTAAGACTGAAAGACAAATAAAAACATGAGCTTGCCATATTTCTTAATGTTTAATTCAAAACAAGGGGTTTATTCAAAGCACATGATAATGCATTAGTCATACTATTAACAGAAAGGATTAAGGTATTTTCTGGTTATTTTAAGTTCATCATTCATAAATCAAATGGTGTATCAAATGTTTGGGTAGTTTAGGTTGTAAATATGACCTTTCAACTAACTGTTGCCAGAAAAGCAAAACAACAATCAGAATCAAAAGTTTCTAAAAGCAAACTCAACTAGAACTATCAAGGAGTAAAATAGAGTAACCACAATTTTGCTTATTTAAAATTATCTCTGAAAGTTTGTTATAATCAGTATCAGACATTTGCTGTATCTTTTTCAGAACTGTTTTAAGTTATTCAGCAATCCATTCTTCTAAGTTTCTGACACTCTTAATGAATATGTGTGTGTGTGTGTGTGTGTGTTTGTAATAGCGGTAGTATGGAAAGAAACAGATGGGATGCTCAACAAACTGCATCTGCCCACACGAGTGCAGGTCCCACTCCAGACCTAAAATGGCTGAGCTGCAGCATGGTGTTGCTTGGTGACCAAATGGTATCTCCTCAGCCACAGAGCAATCTAAACATCAGTGACAGATAGGTCCCTTCAGCTTCAGACACGGCCAGGACAAATATTAAAAGGCATATTTATCTTTTCCAGTAGTAGACAATTTTCAAATCAGTTGTCACTTGCTCAATTTTATCATCAGTTAAATTTAAGGTTTAGGGGCAGGAGTGTTTGCAAAGCTACAGCTGTTATTTTGGGAAAATAAGAAGTAGAACCAAGTCTCCTTAACTAGGAGACTGAAAGTCTTATTGCAATTCTATATGTCCATGTGGGATGTCTACTCTGTTTTGTATAACCTCCCAGTTGCTATCCGTCTCCCTTTCTTTCATTAAACTAAAGTAGTTAATTATCCTGGGCCTGTCCTCTCCCCTTTCTCTTGCCTTTTTTGCAGTAGTAATAATGTCTAATTATCAGCAGCAATGCATTACCGCAACATCAGGAGCAAAACATCTCTCACTGACAGCAAGCCAGCTAGGAACCCTCGAACCTCAAGGAGCTTAGGATGATTCTTACTCGAAAATACCATTCAAGCACAACATTTCATTTCAAACAATACATGACTTTGAATTAAAAGAAAAAATATATTTTGTGTTGGTGATTGTACTCCTGCTATAATAAAGAAAAATCAACATGTTTTTAAGAGAGAAATAATTTGAGATGTGGGAACAGGATAAAAGGGRTCATTTATTTATTTTTTAACTCATTGAAATGATGATTGGCTGTCTCTCAGAGAAGGTGGAGCCTGTAATTCTATGTCAGGAGCAGAAAATTTTCATAAAGAGCAATAGAAGAGTTCATGAATTAAAAAAAAAAAACCTCCTCGACATTTCCAAACAGGCTTGAATGAAAATCAGAGCTCATAAATACTACATGGAAATCATTATCTAAGAATATCACCCGACAGATTACACTTTCTCTGTTAAATATATGGAATCTTTATTGGAAAGAGTAACACGTGTTCCTTTATTATTACCCCGGAGTTGTCATTCTATAGTAGACTTCTTAGCAATATTTTTTTTACAACTCTGCATTAATTTTTGACTGACACATGGATATTAGAGAATGGGAACACTGGCTTGAATTACAGACATAGATGATTATATTAGTGCCTCTAAAACCATTATGGAATTTGTTATTTACAATTTTTAATCAATATTTTTAAAGCAGATATATGTTAACACATATAATGGATGTAGCCAAATCTATACAGCTCATTTGACTGATGCATAAGTCAAGCTAACCAGACAGCTAAACAGTGGGACTCAAGTTTAACAAAAAGAATGAAAAACAAACTTCCCAGCTACCAATGTTTCCTTAAAGCTGATATGATATTAAATAGTATTTTAAGTAACACATCTTTAAAAATTATTTTATCCATTCATCTAGAATTCTAATTTACTTGGTCTAACAATAAATGATTTAATAGATTTCTTGACGTTATTCCTAATACAAAAAAAAAATCAGAGGCTTCTGGCTCATGCAGATGTAAATAAACCTCAGTACTAATTCATGCCAATCTCATCATTTAGTAAAGCAAAACAATAATCTGACATTGTCTTTAGCAGTGTCACACGTCGTCAAATAAGACTATACCTGTAAATCTACCTCCCTGAAATCTTCCAACATTACATTTTTAAAAACAACAACTTTTATGTGTTTGTTTCACCTTTATTTTCATTTCCCATTTTCTGCATAAATTCCAAAAGAAATACACATCCTCAAATCAACAATTCCTAATTAATCTCAGGCAACCACAAACTGTTTTCCAAACCTGAAAGGGTGCACCAAATAATGCTTTAAAAAGCTTTCCATGCACATTATTTCCAAGTTCATATACCTCCCTTAGAGATAGGGAAGCCTTCAAGACACCTCCTTTTTAGCATCATCCAGGAATATTGCAGGAGGAAACAGTTGCCAGTGAGGGGAGGGGGGAGCAAAAGCTCCAGAAATCCCAAAGAGGCAAAAATACAAAGGGTGCCAGATAGCCTCCCCCACCCTTACTCCAGGCAAGTACCCACCGTAGCATGAGGCAGAAAGGTCTTAATGCATCTGATCTGCAGTCCTACTTGTAGCCCACAGTTCCCATCTTCTTGCAAAGGAGGTCCACACTGCTGCCGCTCCCCAGCCCCATAGGCAGATCTGCGTGTGAAGCTGAGATGTACTGACTCTCACTGCCAGTACCTCACAGTGCCCTGGCTAGAGCTTTGTAGCCTGGAGACTAGAGCCACCCAAGAACGACGAATAAATACACCATTTGATCGCGCCCAAACCCATCTCTCTTTGTTGTTCATCCTCTAGCTGCGGCTTTATTTGTGCAACCGGCAAGTGAAGAAGGCAACGGGGGTGGGGGAGGAGGAATCTCTAGGACCTTATCTATAATCTAAACAGTCCTGGCCGTGATCTCCTGCAGTGATCAAGGCGTTCGGACTGCCCCGGGACTCCCAGGCAGCGGTCTAACAATAAAACCTGACAGTGGTCCTGGGGAAAACCTCACATCCACCACTAGCACCACATTCAGGCTTTGTGCCAATGAGGAGACACTGTAGACTATCGATCAGAATCGTCTATTATCAGAGCGTGATGCTGGGGTTCCAGCCTGGCCTCTAGGCGCGGTAGCGGTAGCGGCGGTGGGACAAGTGCCAGGCTCCTAGCTAAGGATGTGGGACAATGGCCCAGCCCGAGGACGCAGGACGCCGCCCGACCCGGGGAAGGAAGCCGCGGCAGCGGGTCCTGGAGCMGGGAGGCGGGGAGGATGGACCGCTCTGGATGTGCGCTGCCGCTTTAAAATAAAGGACCACAAAGACTTGTCGGTGGGGAAATCGCGCCTGGCTAATGCGAGTGGGGACGACTTGGGGAGGGGGTTGGGGAAGGTGGGGGCACACGAGCCAACAGTGGCTCAGGCTCCCCCTCTCTCCCCCCTCTCTCCTCCCTCCCCGCCGGGCTGCTTGGGCAGACAAATAACAGAGGAAGGCGAGTCACTCACCGTGGTCTTGACCGGCACGTAGAGCACTTGCTTGGCGCCGCCGCCTCCCCCTCGGACCTCATCCGGCTGGCCCAGCTGGAAGCCCTTCGATTTGACCCAGAATTTAAATTTGGCGTTGTCCGTGGAGCTCGACTCGGAGCCGTTGAGGAGCTGGACGATCCGCTCGTATTTTTTACGGGTCACCGTCTTGGTCTTCCCTGAGTCCCCGTAAGTCCTAAGGCACCAGTCCTGGAACTGGCGATACATGTCGCGCTCGCTCTCCATGTTCCCGGTGCCCGGCCGTCGGCCGGATGCTCCCAGCGCACTTCACACCTGTTCACCCCGGGCTCATGAAAAATGCAGCCCTGGCCACGATGCGGGACGTGAGGTCCCGGCCGCCGCGGGAGCCTGCCTCGTGTGGGGTGGGGGAGGAACCGGGAGAGGGGAGGAGGGTCCGGTTGGGCACCAGCAATCAATGCCCCATGCTACCAAGTCTGGTTTATTCCTAATTGCAAGGGATGTCTCAGACACTCTTCTCGTCCTCTTAGTGATCGGTCTCTTTAATATTGTGTGACCAGGACCATCCCAACARCATCTGGTCCAGAGAAGCTGGGTTTTGAATAATTAAAATCCCATTCCTTGGTTTATTAAAAATCCCAATATTGATTTGGGTTCGTCCCTYGACGCCTCGCCCGAGCGTTGCGTCCCGGGCAGGGCAGGTGGAGCGCAACACCGCCCTACCCTCGCGCGCCCCAGAAGCTTCCCCAGTGGCTGGTCTGTGGTCCAGGAACCAGGGCTTCGCCTCTCCCGATAGCAGTTACCGGGCCGAGCCCGGGAGCCCCGAAGGGCACACGGGTCCCTGGGCTCTCCTTCCTCCTGGGTCCTGCTCTGATTCGGCCTCCTCTGCGACAGTCGTTAAGAGACTAGAAAGAGAGAAAGTTCTTACCTGTCATGTTTGTAAGCCTATCAAATCCTGTTTTACGGGTTTAAGAAAACCAAGGTATTTGAAAAAACAGTTTAAAATGTCATTTCTTTAGAAGCATTGGGCATAATTCCAGCCCCACATGTAGGTTCCAGGAGTTAAGTCCCAGAAATTCATAGAAATTTGACCATAGTTCTATAGGATAGATGTAGTACCCCAAACAGACATCGGATCCAGAGAGAGGTGGGTAAAGGAAAGCAGGCCGCTGGCGGCAGGTCTCCTGGATAATGATGGGGCCCCCAGACAGGACTCCTCTGGTTTCTGCTGAAGTGGGTACAAGACATAGAAGTAAGTTTATGGTACAGATGCTTGAAACCCTTTGGATGGAATTAAAATACAGAGAGAAAYCATTTTTCCCTTGCTTGGTCACAGTTTGCAATTCACACAGGAGGTTTCGGTTGTCTATTTTCCCCCTGCCACGTCATGGACACCCCYTCCACTGCTCAGAGTAGCCAAATTTGAGTTCCTCTGGACGATTTTCCCAAGCAAATGAAGTCAGCGGTTTCTCCATTCAGGATTTCCATCCRTTTGTTACAGTGCTGGATAGAGGGGAGTTCCCATCCTCCTCGCGCAGTGGCTGCGGCCGCTCCTCTTTATTCCACTCTCTGTTGAGGCCCGCGCCTGTCCCAGGGAGCGGCTCTGCCAGGAAGGCGGCCCGACCAGTGCCCGGCGCCTGGTCGGCGTTGGAGCCCACACTCGCTACTCGTCGTCCTCTCCCAGACGAAAACCCAGAATGGGAACGCGGAGTGTTTGTGCCCACCGCGCTGCAGCTGGTCCCAGCACTTGCAAAATGGTCAGTGGCTCCTGCTCGGCCAGGCTGAGTGTGTGCGTGTGTGTGAGCAAGGGAGCGAGGGTGTGCGGTGTGTGGGGGGTGCGCTGTGTGGGGGGTGCGCTGTGTGGGGGGTGCGCTGTGTGTGTGCGCGTCTCCGGGAAGGTCTCGCGCCGCGGCTGGAGCAGGGACTGACAGCCCGGGCGGAGCGCGAGCAGCTCCACACACTAAACCTCTCGCCTCTCCCCTCACCCCCACCCCTCCCACTCCCCTCTCCTCCCACCCCCCACCCCCCACCCCCGGCCCCTTCCAAGCTCTCTGATTGGCCAATGGGACAAAAGTTTCTGTGGAGACGGCTGGGCGCTGACGTCACGGGCAGAATTGTCCCATTTAGGGATCCCGGGGGCAGTGCGCATGCTGCAGGCTGCAGGTTAGAGGCGGGAGGAGGTAGCAGCGGGCCGGGCGGCAGCCAGGTGGCGGAAAGGAGCAGGCAGCATCCAGGTGGGGGGACGACTCCAGCAGGGTTTCCATGGAGATTTCCTCTGGGTCTAGCCTAAAAACAGCAGATCAGCTGACACCATTAGCTCAGGACCTAATTACTGCTTATTGGAGCAACAAATGAGGGAGAGGGCCAGCTGCAAAGGAAGAGTTTTTATCCCCCCTCCATCTCCTCCTTTCTCCCCCTCTCTCCATCGCTCTTGAGTCCCGGGTGAATTCTCATTAACTTGCAAGATTCCTGCAACAACAGCTCCCCTTCTCCTGAGGCCACCCTGACTGCTTTTATTCTTTTTATTTCCTTCTTTTGTATAAAAAAGAAATGTTAAATTAAATCAGTTGTTCTGAGTCCTTGTATTTTTGCCCAATAAAAATTAGACCCGTAGAACTCAGAGAAGCCACTGTCCAATAGAAGTCACAAGTGAATCTAATACGTGTGTATGGTGTGTGTGTGTGTGGGGGGGGTCACTTTCAATTTATTGAATTGAGTATTTATCTTTAGTTCTTTCACGTTTTTAAAGAAAAAAATCTCAGTATCTTAAATACATAAATAGTTGAAAGAAACAATTGGAGGGAAGTTTTTTTTGAATCACCCTTTTTAAGTGTAGTATATTTCACAAGAACAACTCTGAAAAAGTTTCCCTTGAGGCATAAGAGATAAGAGATGATTCCAAGTTAGGAAATCAAAGTTTTATTGTATATTGGTAAGATGTTTCCTAGAAGTTTCTGGAAAGATCCTTGGTACTGGGGTAGCAGTTCATTCAAGAATAAGCTAATTCTATGAAGTTTACTTTGTTATGGATATAATTTAATTTACAATTACAGATTTCTTTTTATAGCTCTTTATTCTGAAAAGYCTCATACAAGTCCTTCCAGCCCCAAAGAAGCCTGACTTCTTTGACCATTCATAATAAAATAATTGGTTTCTCCTCTGGGTAGTGTCTTTCAAACATTATTTAAACCCTGTTTCATATTAAGCATACATTTTACCTTGGATACATACATCTGTCCTCTACACATCTTATGAAAAAATCCATTTTCTTATTCACAATGCACATATTTCTATTAACATATTTGACATTATTTTTCTTCCTCATTATGTTATTTGGAAAAGTATGATTCCTGACCAGATTTCTTTTATGACCTAGGAGAGGGTGATTGCCAATCTATAGTTTGAAAAACATTATTTTGGATCTGAARAACTCTACTGTTCCTTGTGTTCTTATTTTCAAGCATATTTCATTGTTCAAATAAAATATTTTTATTTTAAGACCTTTTAAGTTTACATTTTCTTGGTTGGCATGTTAACTTTGGCATGACGAACAATGTACAGAGTGCTTAATTAGTAAATACTCARTTGGTAAGTTAAGGAAGGAGAGAGAGAGAGAAGCAGGCAGATGAAATCCTGATCCATCTCTGCTGACCTTTCCTGGGTGGTGGTTGGATGAAGTTGGTTCTCACTTAAGGAAATGCTGGGGATTTACCACATACAGGTGTACTTTATATTTATAACTACACCYGACACCTTACTGTCTGAAAATTAGAACATGCTCACATAAAGAACTAGTGAAATGCAAACAAATATGTCATTAAAGCTCACTTGTATTAACTTGATCTGATACAGAAGAAAAATATGAAAATTCAARTAAATTGTCCAAAAATGCATGCTTTTGAGAAGGAAGAGGTAAATGATTAACTGTTGAAAGAATGTTCAAATTGGAACAAAGGAATAGAGAATAGGATTTCAAAGGCCAGTCTTCTCAAAGTCTGAAGATTTTCTTACCACCAGTGGACCCGAAGTATGATCTGCTCTGYGTTTAACTCATTATTAATTGTGCTGATCCAGTCAACACCTTTTACCCTATCTTGCTCACTTCACAGCATGAACAACTCACAAAATCGAAAATCTGCTTCAGCAATCACTCTGGACTCATTTCCCTCCTTTTAACTTCTCTAGAGTTAGGTCTTCCCAGCTCCACCTCTAGGGTCATACTGAGCCTCTTTTTCAGCTATGATTCATTTGAACAGGCTGCCTGGAATGCAACTTGGCATTTCCTTCAGAATTGCCTTTGCATAGAGCATATCTTTCCAAAAAGTRGTTCTTCACTCTATGTCTTAATGCCAGTCCTCAATCTGTTCCTAACCTAGACCCAGGATTTTGCTTGCCTGGCAGGCACAAGAAGAAGTTAAAGGAAGGTGAAAATTGTTATATTACAAATTTATTTTTATTGTAAAAATCCAAAATTTGAGCCATAATCAATATTATTTTGTTACAAAAGTAAAATTTCTTTAAACCTCACAGTCAGTTTGTATATTATGGAAAATAATTTCAGGATGAATCACAACACTAGATTCATCTGCAGAATTTGACCTTGCAAATAACTCAGAATCTATAATCACAAAATCAGAGTTCAAAAGGTAAACAGCCTTCATTGATCCATTCATATAATTATGTTTTCATTTAGGAAATAACCACTGAGTACCAATTACTGAAGAGGCTCTTGTATAAGAGTCTTCAATAGAATGGATGTACATACATGTTTTTGACCTTATAGAACTCAAATGTTTCTAAAGAAAACAGATCATAACCAAGAAAATGATTAGAAATTAGAAAATAATTATTTTTTTCCTTAGAGGAAAAATAAATGGTSCTATAAGAGAAAAAAATGATAGTGGGGAGGTGATTGGTGGACCTATTGGAAGATCTAAGTAGGTAATATTTAGCTTGAGACCTGAAGAATGCAGAGGAGTCGATCACACTGAGGAAGATTCAGGAACAGAAACTATAGACAAACCACAAAGATCCCAAAGTAATGGAGTCTGAGGTATGTTTGAGAAATCTATCAAAACTGGAGCTTATTGGGTTTGAAAGAAAGAAGTAGATTATAAGATCYGAGTCATCTTTTATAGCCAGATCTTGTGGGGCATTGCATTATGTTTTATTACCCACTCAGTCAAAAAACAATAAAGTATTTAAAGCAGAAGAATTACACAGTATGCATTTTTTGTGAGTTTTATTGGATATTCAGAGAAAAAGTTATTGGAAGGGGCAAGCATGGAAACAGGAAGACTTCTTAGACCTAAAGTGGCAATAATTGTATTAACATCAGTAGAATATTCTAGTGACAGGTTGGAGAGGTAAAAGTAGAGGAGGAGGGAGAGAAGTGATGGACTGAAAATATGTTTTAAAAATTAAACAAGTCTTGCAGATGCAATGCAGTGAATGTTTTTGTCTTCTCCCACAAATTCATATCTTGTAACCCAACCTTCAGGGTGAACTTAATAGAAGGTGATGGGCTTTTAAGAGTAAATGAGTCGGGAAGGCTTATCCCAGAATGGG